GAGATGCATTCCGTAATTGCAGCTTATAACTGAATCACAGACCAGTGTCACCGCCCTGTTCTTTTACCACGGGGTGAAGAAGGAGATTGAACTCTGGAAGACAGCGGAACGGTCACCTCCTCTACCAGAAGATGAAAAGCAAAAAATTCTTCAGAAATGCAAGATTTCCATCAGTAAATACGCAAAAGCCATTTTGCTTTGTAAATCGTTCATGCGAAGTAACAGCTCCCTGGAAATTCTCATTGTTGGTGACCAAGAAACCTACCAAGTACAGGAAGTTGAGAAGGAGACATTTGCCCTCATCCGCTTAAAAGGTATCTCATTTATGTTCACAGGGTTTAAAGAAAAAAATCAGAAATAAGTCAAAACAAATAGGTTGAAATAGTGCAAAACAATAAATATCTCTGAATCAGATTCTGACCAAAGTAGTTCTCGTTACGCCAACGTTATGAAGTGTATGTCTCATGGTAAAAATGAATTGAAATGTTAAGTTTTGGGCCGAGAGAAAAGTATAAAAATAAAAAGATGATATATTTTGACTGTACAAGGATCACGAAAACACAGTGAAAAGTCACGCAGCGTTATGGGCTGACAACTGACATATTCACATGGCAGTTCAGTGCCCAGGCCCCCGCTGGAAACCAGTCGGATGCAAAGTGGGCGGCCACCCTGGCTTAAGTTTAGTTACTTACTTTTTTGGCATACAGGTGGCACAGATGAAGCCATATGTTATGCAGAGACTGCTTCTTCCCCAGAAGACAGAAAGTTCGCTAATCATCTGATTAACATCAATGGAGAGGAGGTGTTGAACAAACGAAAAGTTTACGAAAGAAGTCGTGCAAACGCCTGGAGCAACGAGGATTCCACTCTGAAACTCGCCACTGCGATTATGAAAGAGAGTGCGGAGCTGAAGAAAAAATTTGGCATCGATGCCATTGAAGTAAGTTTTACAATTTGTATGCTCTGCAGCCTCTTTAATTTACATGAACTTTGTCTGTCCATATCAATCGCATACTATCATGTGGTGAATTTCGTATTACGCTCTGATGAGCCAAGCATATTTTTTTCTTAATGAAATGACTTTCCTCTGGCAGACTGGCTACTCTCATGGCGCCATATCGATGTTTTCAAACTAACGCATTGGAAGCCTTTACCTACGAAATTTGAAATCATTTCTCAAGGGAGATAAACTGTTGTGTGGGAACGCCATTATGGTTGCCTTAAAGTGCTTTAGTATCCATGGTGACTTTAACATTCAACACGATTACCGTTTATTTCATGCAAGTGGAAGTTTTCAACCTCCTTGCCATTGCCTGATTTCAAGCCGAGAAGGACTAGGTACGAGTCGGTAAATTATGGGATTAGCAACTATTGATCCACGTAGTCCGAAAGAGCACACCGAGATTCACAAAATCTCCAAGTTAAGTGTTAATCAGTCTAGTTTTGACTGAGATGCAGCCAGTTAAAAACGCCAAAATTACACAGAAATATTTGGTCATCCGGGAGACAGCGTCCGGATGGTCATACATTTTTTTTTGTAAATTTTGCTGTTTTCAAATGGTTGTATATTGCTTACTATTGGGTCTATTTGCACCAAACTTGGGGATTTTGTAAAGCTTGGTGTGCACTTACTATGTGGATCAATAGCTGCTAATCCCATAATTTGAAGACTCGTACCTAATCCTTTTCGGCTTGAAATCAGGCAATAAATTTAGCAACGTTTCTTTGAAGCTGATCGTGCGCACATTAACAACATCAGTGGTATTGAATGCCGTGAGAAGCCAGACTATTTAGAACGACCTATTTTACTATTTATAGTACAATAACTTACGATCCACATCACGCTCGTCGCTAACTTGTAGCTGTCAAATGGTTAAAACGGACCGTTACGGTGCAAGAGCCTTTTCTTTTGCCGCAACGAAGTTGTGGAACTCTATTAACATATGTTCTTTATTTAGACCCTCAGCATTATGTACCCTTATATTTCTTTTCTAGAAAAAAGACCTGGATGCACTGGAAACACTGACTCGTATCAGTCAGAAAGTTAGGAGCCAGCTCGACCCAGGCTATCTCGAGCCACTCGGTGAAGGCAGCTTTGGGCAGGTGTTCCAAGCTAAGAAAGACGGCCGGCCGGTGGCTGTCAAGATTTTAAAGAACATCGAGAACCGCAAACAGATCCAGGACTTTGAAAGAGAAGTTGACATGCTTAGGTTTGTGCTTGATTTGTATGTCTTCAGTTGTAATAACTGTTAGGAGCACTGTAACAGTGCAAAAATTAGTGATTCGCGACCTGTTTCTATCTTCTCTTAAGGATTTTGGCTTGTAAACCTCCTAATTGACGTGATATTGAATACTTCATTAAGCCTAGTTCAACTTATAGCGAGTTAAGACATAACGACATAAGAAATACGTTATGTCGTTATGTTTGCAGTGTGAACATTCCGACATAATGGCAAAATAGCAACATAACAGCATGAACGTAACGACATAAGCAAAAAAACTGATCTTTTCTTTATGTCTTTATGTCGATGTTCCCATGACCGACATAAGCGATTATGTCGGTCGTTATACCATTATGTCAAATGGTTATGTCGTTATGTTGCTAGTGTGAACCAGGCCTGACTAAGCTGATAAGCTTTTGCACTGTTAAGGCGGAAAGGTCAAGGACTATTTTTACAACTGCTGCCTTTAAAACTGGAAAGATAACTTTCACTTGTGAAGTATGCTCATTTGGTCTTTCGGCGCCGCGAGAAACGTTGAAGTCACTCCAGCACCTTAAAAAAGCAAACACGAAGAGCAAAATGAGTACATGCTTTGCGTGTGTTCTTCTCTCTTCAGGGAAGCAAAGCATCCCAAAATCGTGGAAGTGATTGAATGCATCTCCATTCAGAATCAGCTGGCGATTGTGATGGAGTTCATGGCGGGAGGAAATCTTAAAGTGCTGCTCGATAAAAACCAGGGACGAGGACAAGGAAAAAAGTTTACATTGAGATTCACCGAGGATATTGGTTCTGCTCTTGAACATCTACACTCACTGAATATCATCCACAGAGACGTGAAACCTGAAAACATCTTTGTAAGGGCGTTTAATTTGTCTTCAGCTCGCCTTTTGGGTTTTGTTGTTGTGTTTGTGTTTCTCACTTTCAAGAATGCAAAATGAATTGATTAGCGATTTGAGTATTGAGCTCGCTTGTCATTTCAAAAATCAATATTAAATTGATTTTTTTGAACATTAAACCCATGAGCCGTATTCTTGGAACGACTAGTGGGTTCAGTTTTCCAATAATCAGTTCATTATTGCATTCCGGAAACGACTAGCGGGTTCGATATTCAAATAATCAATTCATTAATGTAATCTTGAGGGGTACGCTTCACCTGGTTTGACTGTAACTAGAGTACAGAAACGACAACAAAATAGGTGCCTGCACGGAAAGTGACGCCGTATTGTCTCTTCTCATCTACATGTATCTATGGGAAATAATGTGGTAACCTTCTGTGACAACTTACTAGGTTTTAAAAAGGTTTTAAAGTGATGGTTATGGTGATCAACCTGCGTGGGACCAGCGCGTCGCTTCTTATGGCCTGGAGAACCAATAGTCTTAGGGGGGTCTGTAAAATTAAGAGGCTCTTTTTTGGCAATAAGGAACGACACGTAGTAAAACAAGCCTTTAGAAATCTGAAATGTTGTAACATCTCCATGCAAAAGCTACAGTTTTGTGACGGAATTAAAGACTTTATTTACTTTGCTCGATACAAATCTGTTAAGTTTATTATGTATCAGATGAGCTTGATCATCAAGTAACAACTCTGTTTGCAAAGTTGATTTCTTTTTTTTCCAGTTGTCCGTTGATCACACAGTTCTCAAGCTCGGAGACTTTGGTCTGGCTCGTGCAACAGAAGGAACACGTCAAACTAAAACTCAGATTGGCTCCTACCGTTACATGGCGCCTGAAGTGGTGAAATCTGGAGGCCGTTACTCCCATAAAGCCGATGTTCATAGCTACGGTGAGTCCATGGCGATAGTGACAATTTCGGCAACGGAAAAAAGTGTCGTTTTTTCGTTTGTCTCTGTTTTTTGTTTTCACTGAGGAAACCGAAACCGAGGACACAGCATATGTGCATCTGCATTTGTATCAGTTTTATTATCCAACTGCAGCGAATACCGTATTTACAGCGATATTGTACGGTTATTTGTACAGTAGCAAACCTGTTTGCCGAACTGGTCGGCGCGCGCAGGCAAAACTGTCACACTCTCCCTCTTACTGATAAATTTAGTGACTATAGCAGTTGGATAATATATCTCTCTTATTAGATGCTTTGCTGTGTAGTATCGCTTTATATTTTTACTCGTTGTTAGTACTTTGACTCACCCTACGGCTCGTCAACAATAAGGCACAACTCGTAAAATATACAGCGATACTAAATAAAAATGGTATAGTGCTTTTTAAAATAGTTTTCTAGTTGGCTATTACATATTGATAGAGGAATGTCATTCCAATAATAGCTTCCAATAACAGCTGGCCAAAATTTCCTTATATTTATTCTGAATGCATCCATATGATAAGTTGATTTCTGATCAAGGCGGTCAACATCAAGGACGAAGTGAAAAGTCAGGTTTACCCTATTTACGAGGAAAGGCTGGTAGAACTTTGTGGTGTTAATTCAACGGCTCAATAGGAGGGTCTGAATGGGGTTGACCGTTAGCCGTAAACGGACAAAAATTCAGCCGTTAGGCTCGGAGATTGGAAACATTTAACCGTTAGCTGGCCGTAAAAATATGCTAACCGTAAAAGTCTCAAGACCTCCTGTCAAGACTTTTTTCTGAACTGGAATGGTTTTAAGACCTTAAATATGTCTTACAGTTTTTAACTTTTTTAAACGATGAAAGTTAAGTTTTATTTTTTTTTTTTTCGGAACAATGGTTATTAATTTCTAAGATTTCTGTTAACCGTAAGGAAAATAAATTAACCGTTAGCCGTAAAAGAGCTAGAATATTAGGGAGGTTAAGGATGACGTTTACGACAAACGGCAAACGGCAAACGGCAAACGGCAAACGGCAAACGGCAAAAATGAAATTTTTACCGTCTCCCTTCAGTTGTGTGTACAGTAGAGTGAAGTTATTTGTATTTGCAATGAATAGTAGGAGACGTTATTCCATTTTTGTGTGCTTTATTTACGGATTAGAAGAAAAGAACTCAAAATCAGAAGTTATCTTTGCCGTTTGCCGTCTGCCGTTAACGTCATGCTTAACCTCTCTAATAACCGTTAGCCGTAAAAGCCACTTACCCATTGATACCCTCCAACAGCCGGGTTAACCACTGTACTTATTAAGAACATGATGTTTTCGTGTCTCAGGGTTGTGTCTGATAGAAGTGCTGAGTGGCAAGACAGTGTTCCATGACATCGCGCACCATGAGACTGTATTCAACAAGAAAATGGCGGGCGACAATCCAAGTATTCCGGTAATGAAATATGAAACAGGTGTAAATCTCTTTCACGGGCTTAAAAATTATTTTTTTAGTAACAGAGAGAACGTTATAACGTTTAGAATTTTGTTACACACATTTACCTATTTTCATCGTATACTTTGTGTTTTATAAACGCTTGCATGAGTCGAATCTAACTTTGTCACTCTCGTTTACTTGCCGGCAGGACATCTCTGTTGAAGAATTTGGCGAAGAACTGGCAACAAAGCTCAAAACAATTATTGACGATTGTCTTAAGCCAGAAAAATCCCGTCCCGAAATGCATCTGCTTCTCAGTAAACTGAAGGGTAAAGTAACGTCGCACAAGAACAGAGTGGAGCTTTACTGCGTGGGAACTGGGACCGGCACAACAGGTACTGTCGTTTCATAGCAACATGTTGGTATTTGCAGGCAATAGTTAAATGCTTGGATAAAAAGAACTCACTTTGCGGTAGCCTATATAGTGGAACCTCCTTTAACAGACACCTCTTTTGACAGTGTACCAAAAGGTGGACACCTCCCGTAATCGGACACTTTTTTTTACTATTATTATCGTCCCAGCCACATCCCAACACTACATTTTTAACCTCCCAGAAGCAGGCACCTTTCCTAAGTCGATGTTTTTCTTTCTGGTCCCAGTGCTGTGTACTACTTTTACTACTTTTTGAGGTTATAATTGTGTGCACCTTTCGCCATAAGTAACTTGACAAAGTCGTGCCAAAGCTAGTCTTTTACATTTATTTGTCTGCACCTGGAGTTGCTTCCTGAATTAGCCCCTGAAGCAATTGTGTTGCTTATTGGAGGAGCATCTTTGTTCGAGAGTACATTTATTGATATGAGGGTTAGAAATGTTGCAGTCACCAATACCTAACGTGGCTTTTCGAACTAAAATAGTATCCACACATGTCAGTTGTCTCTTCCCTTTAACCCGTGAATGAACCAACGTTCGAACTGACTATTTATTTTATTTCAGCTGCCCTGCATGGCAAACCGAGTTCTTCTGCCATCATTTTTCATGGTGGGAACCCTCTGTTGATGGCCGATGTTGGAGCAGGCGTTCTAAAGCCCTGCAGGGAGAAACTTGGTTAGTATTTGTTTGTTTGTTTGTTTGTTTGTTTGTTTTGTTTGTTTGTTTGTTTGTTTTTGTTTCTTTTTTGTTTTTGTTTTTGTTTTTGCTTTTTTGTTTTTGTTTTTTTNTGCAAGAAGAATAAAACATTTATGGAAGAAAATTGCTGGAAAAGTTGCTCGAAGTGTACGTATTGCCTGTATACCTCATTTATACCTTATTTGTTTGTTTGTTTGTGTATTTGTTTTTCTCTTATTTGATTCTGTCATGTTTTATATTTTCCCTTTGCTTGGTTTCCAACCGTTTCAAACAATTTTTGGTACAATATTCTGGTACATTATTATATAGTAGCCGATATAACGCGCGTTCTGATTGGCTACTTTGAGGCCATTATTCTCCCGCAATACCACGGGCCGATTACTTTCCTGCAAAAACAACGCAAAAAAAGAAAAAAAAAAACAATATATAATGTATAAACAGCTTGTTAACATCGAATGTTCGGTCCTTACGGGGAAATCTGAATCCTCGGCCTTGCCGTATTGGCCGCGCTATCGCTCGGTAAACACGGCAATGAATCAGTTTGAGATATTCCCTTATACTCTCTGTTAATATATAAGTGTTTAATGTTATGGAAAAAAAACATTGAAAAAAATTGAAAAAAATTGACCTCCGTAGAGTGAAAACCTTTACATGTATAATACACCTGGATCCTTGTTTGTTCAGTTATGTGAGGCCCGATAAGATGCGGCCTTTCCTTGTATTTCCAGCCTACAATGAATTCCCGAGGAACGTTTTCATCACCCACAACCACCTGGACCACGCTGGAGAGCTCCCTATGTTGTTTGCATCTGAAAGCAAACGGAGATACTTGGCTGGTGAACCACGCCTGAGGGTGCTGTCGGGACCCGAGGTGGAATACAAGCTCAAGACTCACCGGCTTGATGAGATGTTAAGCTTGTTTAAGCCAGTAAGTGTGATTGCTTTCAGTGGAGCTCTGTTAGCCACTGCGTTAAGAGGAGCAGTGTTAACGCCAAGAAAGCAAGCTGGGACTTGTGGGAGAAATCGGAAGAAGAGCGAGCGTTAGTCTTAGCGGTTAACTTATCTACGCATGTTCAAAAACCGTTTTTGAAAAATATGAAACATTTTGTGTCTCTATGGTTTTAATTTGGCGCCAAAGATGAGTCGTCCGCGTCCGGCAACTCGTTCGTAGTTGTCAAGTATCGCCACGGCCAGGCAGGATAATAGTTGTGTTATTTTGAACAAAATATGTTGTTTCTCGTCAATTTAAACACAGTATTCTCCAGTTAAGTACTAGAAGAGGCCAAGGCAACTGTAGAATTTTCTTTATCTTCGTTAGCTAAGAAGGAAAAGACTATTACAGAGGCGGATCTAGCGGGAGGGTGCAAGGGGTGCGCACCTCCCCCCCCCCCTCCCCCTCCTCCTCCGTATTCGCTTTTAAAATTTGTTTACCTCGCCAGTCAGTTACGCTATTCCCTAGTGGTGCCCCCTTCTCCTGAGAAAAATCCTTGATCCGCCCCTATATCATCTTGTCGTTTCAGTAAGACAGCTGAGCTCGGTTTTGACTGCCGTTCGTATTGCGGACACAGTCGCCATATGTAAGGATGTACTTTGATTATGTTATTAGCTTTTTGGATTTTCTTCTCTCGAAATGTGTTTAGTCAGGGGTAGTCTGTATAGCACCTTTACATTACCCCAACTTCAATATAAAAACATAGATCGGATCTTTAATTTTTACCGTTTCCCTCATCCTTTTTCCAATGGGGCGTCAATCAATTGTAGTAATGCCTTTGCTTGTAGGAACAAGTCGCAGATTGGGTTGTGTGCAAACCTGGCGAAGATCCAACTTATCTAGATGACGAGAAATACTTTTTCATCCAAACGTATCGAACGCTACATGGCGAAGTGTGTTATGGTGGGTAGAGATGTTTATTAAAATAGAGCGACTGCTAGTTTTGTTTCCAGCTCGTCATTCTGATTTTTACTGCGATTATCAGTTGCCAAGTAAGGCGCGAAGAAAGTTTGGTGACCAGGTTTTAACGTTCAACTGGTGTTGTTGTTCCGTGCAACTGGCCTCGTTTCCAGTGGCAACTTGTCGGCCTTTGACGTCATTTGCAGCAAAGCGCGCGAAATTGCAGGTGGTGATATTGTTACCATTGGAAACGAGGACAGTTGCTCGTGTCAACACCGTAATCTTAAGGCCAAAACTTTGTCACCAAAGCTCCGTCGCACCTTGCTCAACTGATAGTCGTAGTAGGACGTGATTTGGTATAGCAGGACAGAAAAAAAAATTGTCATAATTAAATTACCAGGCAAAATCAATGCAGAGGTCGTTCATGTATAACTCCAGATTGACTGGTGAACGACGTTGTGAGTTGGAAGAAAAGTATTTGCTTGAAGCTATATTAAATATGCAAGAAATGTATATCTTGCTTTTTTCGGTTTTGTATTTTTTTCCCCAGTTTGGAAAAGTACGAGCTAGAAATTAGCATATACATTGTCCATGGTCCATAAACACACAAGAAAGAATTTGACCAATATCCAGCCAACTTGAGCTCACGCTTGGTTTATAACCCATATATATTGCAAGTACTTAAAACTGTACTAAATTTCGTTTCTTTCTGTAGGATTTCTGCTCTACTTTAAGGACAAACCAATTCTGGGGTACTGTGTAGACTCCGGCTTTAAGGAAGACGTGTTCGAGTTTTTCTTCCAGGCCTCCACTGTGGTTGTTGATGCGAGGGAGATAGGATCTAAAGAGCACGCATCAGTAAGACAGTAAAACCAACATATGCTGTTCTCGTTTGGGGACAAAAGCGTTTGTTTACCATTGATGTGATTTGTGATCTGGCATTAGAGATACGTTGTTGGACTCCAGGGAGCAAGCGAAAATTGTGGGGCTCTTCTGTAGTGCAGCATCCCGTCTATTCAGGCCGTCTGACACGACCATCTCCACATTCCTTTCCTCAAGGCCGTTTATCGCGACCTCACCCCTCCCACTCCTCAAGGGGGGACTGTTACGTACAAAGGTCTATTTATTTATAGGACATATAATGAGTTCCCCCCCCCGGCCACCATCACAACCCAAAAATTAAAGTGCCATCATTTAGTCAAATCTAGTGGGCATCAATGCAGTTTGTCTTGCTGCAGCAGCATCCGATCATATTGTACTTAAATACAATCTATCGTTGTTACTTTAGTTTACAGAAGTTGCGGAGTATGTGAAGAAAACTCAGGTAGGTACGCGTCTTGTTTATCTATATTCGTTTTTTTTTGGGGGGGGGTGCTTTTTGTTTTCTTTTTTGTTCTTCTTCCTGTTGTTGTTTTAGTTTTGAGTGTTTGTTTGTCGTTGTTTTTTTTTTTTCGATGCCCCATGTAGCGTTAGAGTAGCCAGTATAGTGCCTGCACAGCCCCAAGGCTCAAAACATATCCTTTATTCCGAAGACGTGCCGAGTACACCAAGTTGCCCGTTTACGCGTTCTGCTAATATTCTTTGAGTCCACGGATATACATGCGTTATAAGTACAACTGCTTGACTACTACGGCACCACACCCATATGTTAGCAAATATGTCAATGAGAATTCGAAATCAACCAAACACTCAAAAGAGTATAAAATTCAGGTATACCGTTAACACTGTTTCTGATTTCCATTGTAGCGCAAAGACCTCAAAGTATACATCACTGGCTACGGCATCGACACCGAGTACCCGGATGAAGGAGTGCCTGGCGTGGAGCAACTACGAGCAGATCAGTACATCACACTCTGGGACGAAGAAAACGATCAAGAATAGCTCAATGGTTCTGATTACAATTACAAGGGCACTTAAAACTTCCTGACTTTAAACTAAGTAATAATAATTCAACATCGCTAACTGTTTTACCGTTCAAATGAAATATTGTAGTATAGGTAACATTTTTGATAGGTGTTTTAAATCGAAAAACCTTTGGAACGCACACCAGTGGTAGATCTCAGACTTGCTTACCAGTTGGCCCAGTGGAAAATTTCCGGACCTTTCGAATGTTTGCCCTCAAGGAAGTGGCCCGGGCCTCGGGCCCTTCTCTAGGTGCTTCACTGAAACTTCTCAATAGGTCTTACAAGGCTTAATTCTTTACTAAGAAAACGCTGAATTAGTTTTTTTCAGGATGCTTGGAATAATTATTTAATTATAGATGCCAGTCAACTTAATTTGATAACACAATGCAGGAATCCCAGGAGTAATAATGCCAGTGAAATTGAGGAATCATAGCAGTTGATATTTTGTGAACTATGATGATACATGATATAATTTACTTAATAAATGAACGACGTGTAATCAATTCAGATTCGTTATTTCATTCGATTCTTGTACATGTAATTACAGTTCTGGAAGGTCGCAAGCGCTATATCACGACATCACACGGGCATAATGTCGTGCGTTCGAAATCAATTCTGGGCCGTGCTTTTTATTATTTTATTTCGTTTATTTATTTTATCTATTTTGGACGACAGCTAATTGGTCTGATAAGAGTGGGTGAAGGTAAACAAGTATGTGTACAAGTCCAGTGGCCCGTGGGTCCGACGCCCCATCTCTTCTTTCCTTTGACATCGTCAGACTATAGCAGTATTTCTACACCTCCCCGGATGGGATGCTAGTCCATCTCAGAGCCCAGCAACTCTCGGCTTAACTCGCCTCTAGCCAGTAAAAGAGAGAGGAAGGAAATTCCTGGGTTATCTTTCCCACAATTTAAGAATTATTGTTGAGATCATTTTCTAGTTTCCGGTTTCTAATGCTTTTTAGCTGTGAGAGTGAAGCGTCTTAGACTCGCCCCAGACCGCACTGCGCCTCCCGTCTGAGATTAATAGTTCTTTACCTATTCACAAACATTTTCGACAAGATAAATGCAAGTAAACCAAAAGGCTTAGGAATGTAGCTGGAAAAATGTTGAAATATGTTATTATTTTTTTTGCTACCCCTTTGTGAACTTCACAAGTTTGACTTTTTGATTTTTGGCTGATAAGTAGGTACAGATAAGTATACCTTTTGCTGTTCAGGGGCAATTTTATCGTTATTTTATCGCATTGCAAATTAACATTGGCGCGTTTGTCTTCTTCTAAAGTTATATAATCAAGGATTTGTATAGGTAAAACTCGGGCAATTAATTTAAGGGTTTGCCGCTCTACTTGTGATACATGAAAATTCTCTCAAATTGCTCAAAGACCCTTGCAATTTTGAGATAATTTTCAAATATCGTCTGTGGTATAAATCCTCAATCGCAATCACATTTGTACGACAACCGATACAAATCCATGATTTTAATTTGAATCATTTAAGAATGTGTCACTTAGTTTCATCAATGCTTTCCAGTTCTGACTTTAAAAATCATTTAACCCCAGTTGTCTGTTTTAAATTTCATCATTAAATATATCAAGGTAAAGGAAAACACTTTAAAAGTATTCACAGTTTCCATGGCCTTGGCAGAACAACAACTATCTTTACTTCACTTGTCCACCACAATGTAGTCCAGTCCAGTATTCTGACGAGTTGTAATTGCGTCATCCGGGCTTTCCCAGAAATAATTATGCACTGAGCTGTTGTAAACATTGCCAGACGTCGACAGATAAGACAAATTTCACATCGAAAGTGTAGAATAAAGGGCCGCCTTTATTTCGTCGATGGCGTCACCCTCTGATGCAATGCAGGTAAGAGAAACGTGATCGACTGTTTTAATATTTTGAAATGTATCACGAATCAACTAAAGGAAAGCCATGCTGTTTGCAAACCCATGATCAACAGAGAACCCCAAAGATCGAATCTTCTGTTTCATATATCGCATTTGCGCGATAACAGGGGAGGAGGACAACTAAATTCTTCCCTGTAGACTCCTCATTTAGAACGAATTCGCTTTGAGGGTTCATGTACAGCGAAGCGTGTAGTTCAGTCAGCGCGGCAGACTATTTGTCGAATTTGTATTTGTGTTGTTTCATGGATCGACGAGGTTTCTATGGGTCTGCCAATATGAAAAGTGTTCTCTTATTTCTCAGAAAGCTTGTTCATTTATTAGAAATCAGGGAAGAGTTGACTAACTCAGCTGCTGATTTCATGTTATTTATTATTCATTGCCACTGAATGAATGCGACATAGACCGGAAGTACATGTAAAGTGAAAGTGTGCTTATCATGTGCTACCGTGTTTAATACGGTTTGTTGATTTCGAAAGCCTCACATTGAATGGTACAAAATTCATCCCAAGGAGGCTTTTATATCTAGTTATGTCTGTACAAAAGACTGCAGTGATCGCTAAGCGTAATATATTCGATCAGACACAGTGTTTCATGGAGTCAGATTATTTAATTATTTGTCGCGTGACCATCATTAAAAAAACCTCGGCCTGGCCAAGTTTTTGCTTTCCTCTCGGAAAAATCGATCCCTGATACTGGCGTCTCGCCAGCCGAGCCCGGAGTAACTCGGATGTGCTCTCATAGTTAGCCTAACGACACAGACTTAGATATCACAAAACACCCAACCCAGCTCGTACGTATGTTTCTTGTGAGGTTAGTAATATGTATGAAATCGGATATACAGGTGAAGGGATTGTACTTGCTCGTGCAGTTCTGTGCTATGGTGGTGGCTTGGGTTTGTGCTTTGTGGAATAGTCTCCTTTCTCGTGATCCTTACAGGAGCAAGTAACCCGTATTTTCAAAGTTGTATTGATTGAGGTACAAGGTATCTAAACCTTTTGACGGTATTTTGTTCAGGATTGTCTCCTCAAGGCACAACGTGCACTGGCAGTTCTTTATGAAGACAGATACCCTTGCAGCAACTGGGTTCAACGAGGACTGAGAGAACTACTGTATCAAAGGTGTAGTGGATCACGGAACGAATTCAATGACAATTTTCTCCGGCCAACTATTACATTACTGGAAAGACTGAAAGAGCAGGTAAAATACTTTCGCGAGTTAAAGTATAATTCTGTTTGGAGGTTATGCTGGCGGCCCTGGAGAACATGCATGGACTGCATGGGACGATCGATATTACTTTCGTGGGATCTTTCACTATCTCTGCTACATTTCTCAGGAACAACAAAATATGTTATCTACCGTGTATTTTTCCAATTGTCCCCATCGCGTCTACCAGATTTTTTAGATTGACCAGTCACGTCTCGTTTAAAAGAGAATGGCAACAAGGATCTTTAAGCTTAATCCCTTCGGAAAAGGAGAAGTTGCTGAGGGATCCCACGTAATATCACCAGGTGAAGACAATTATTGACCACCGCGGTTGTGTCAATGGCGTAGTGACCAACACACCCCACTAATCATCATCTAGACGTAAGTTCGGGTCCCGTCTAGCACAATTCGTTTCCTTTGTCCTTTTGAATATCGGCCAGTGCGATAAAATATTTGTAATCATCATCATCATCATCATCATTTGTAAGAGTAAGTCTTAATTAGTTCTCCAATAGGTCCTTCTAAAGACCAAATGTTATCTCCTCCAATTTTGTGACTCCCGGAATCCTCTCTTCTGTAGGGCTTTCCTTTAGTGAAGAATGGAAATATTATTGTTCACCTGATAGTGCCATCGAACCACTTGGAAGCTGGAGAAATGTTTTATCAGGTAAACGTTAATTAAGATGCGTTGTTACAGACTTTCCGAGATTAGCCTCGAGTTGAAAGTGATTTTCGGTTATTGCGACGTTTTGTCGCTAAGGTAGAAAAAAGAAACTCGAAATAATAAACCAAAGGGAACCAGGGGTTGTTGAGAAAATGAAACTGAGGATGAAGCAGATAATGAACAATCCACGTGAAAAATGTTTTGGCAGATGCACAATTGCGCATTCGAGATATGCATATTACTCTTATATTAATGGTAGCGTTACTCCCTGTAGACATAACTACCGTTTTATTTGGCATAGGTTGGCCATACAACACCAGGGACATTAGCACTAAAGTTCGCCAAGTATCAAGGTAACTCAGTGGTCCTACAGCCATCCACCATCGAGGAAAGAGAATTCCATTTAGGATTCAGCCAGCAGTACATTAGACAACTACGAAACGAAGCTAGTAGATTTGGTAATCAGTTGATGAGAGTTCTGCTGGTGTGCAGGCCAGCTGGCCAGGAGGAAATTACCACTGAAAAGATAGAAGTGGACCAGATAATACCTCACTCAGTTGGAAATAATTCATTTGTACCGGAAACATTCCAAAACCAACTGCCCAATAGAGGTGGACTATCATCTCTCACTGTTGGCCGTCAACCTCAAGAACATTATTTAAGTACTAGTGAAGCTAATTTAGCGTCCATTCGAACTACCCAAGAAGTCAATGGAGAAACGGCTGCGTCCTCTGACCATGAACCAGTAGAACACTCATTCAGTGACAGTGACAGGAATCCAGCATATTCCCTTATACATCAAGCAACCAGAAAAGATCCAGCTACACCAGTAAGAGAACACCAACCTGACTGCCACTCTTCAGGAGCAGGTGGGAACAACCCCGCGTATCCTCCTATTCACCAAGCAGTCAGTAAAGATTTACCTGCGAATGTTATCGGCCATCACTCTCAGTCAGGTGCTAATAGGAACAATCCAGCGTATCCTCCTATTCACCAAGCAGTCAGAGAAGATTCATCTACTCAAGACACTGGTCATCAGCCTCAGTCAGGTGCTAATGCAAACAATCCAGCATATCCTCCTATTCGACAAACAGTCAGAGAAGATTCATCTGCACAACACACTGGTCATCAGCCTCAGTCAGGTGCTAGGGGAGAGAATCCAGCGTATCCTCCTATTCGCCAAACAGTCAGAGAAAATTCATCTGCACAAGACACTGGTCATCAGCCTCAGTCAGGTGGTAATGGCAACAATCCAGCGTATCCTCCTATTCGACAAACAGTGCGAGAAGATTCATCTGCACAACACACTGATCATCAGCCTCAGTCAGGTGCTAGGGGAGAGAATCCAGCGTATCCCCCTATTTGCCAAGCAGTCAGAGAAAATTCATCTGCACAAGACACTGGCCATCAGCCTCAGTCAGGTGCTAATGCAAACAATCCAGCGTATCCTCCTATTCGCGAAGCAGTCAGAGAAGATTCATCTGCACAAGACATCGGTCGTCAACCTCAGTCAGGTGCTAATGCAAACAATCCAGCGTATCCTCCTATTCGCCAAGCAGTTAGAGAAGATTCGTCTGAACAAGACACTTGTCATCATCCTCAGTCAGGTGCCAGGGGAGAGAATCCAGCGTATCCTCCTATTCGACAAACAGTCAGAGAAAATTCATCTGCACAAGACACTGGTCATCAGCCTCAGTCAGGTGCCAATGGAGATAATCCAGCGTATCCTCCTATTCACCAGGCAGTTAGAGAAGATTCATCTGCACAAGACATCGGTCATCAGCCTCAGTCAGGTGCAATTGCAAACAATCCAGCGTACCCTCCTATTCACCAAG